ACTGTTTCAAGGCAACTGGCTCAGACGATACAGCCTCATGGACTACTCCATGATCCTAAAATTTTCTTTGTTTCCCCAGAAGATACAGTGCCCCCCTCCAGCAGGAAGTAGTAAGAGAAGCTACGCCCAAATTCCCAAATATACCAAGCTGACTTTGGAGATGTGTAAAGGTTAAAACCTTCCTTTTTAAGAAAAGAAAAGGGGAAGTGCTGTGGGATGGTCTGTATGTCAAATGTGTTGCTGATTGGTCAATAAATAAATCACTGATTGACCCGTGGCCAGGCAGGAAGTATAGGCGGGACAAGGAGGAGAATAGAGCTGGGAAGTGGAAGGCTGAGACAGGGAGACACTGCCAGCCGCCATGATGACAAACAGCAGGTGAAGATGCCGGTAAGCCACGAGCCATGTGGCAAGGTATAGATTAATAGAAATGGATTAATTTAAGCTATAAGAACAGTTAGCAAGAAGCCTGCCACGACCATACAGTTTGTAACCAATATAAGTCTCTGTGTTTACTTGGTTGGGTCTGAGTGGCTGTGGGACTGGCGGGTGAGAGAGATTTGTCCTGACTGTGGGCCAGGCAGGAAAACTCTAGCTACAATCTTGTCTTGATAAAATGTTGCAGGCTTTTTCATACTATTGCAACACAAATCCCCTCTTCTGGCCATCTCATCATTTGTGATAGTGACAAGAGTTTGTCCCACTCTGGGAAATTGATGAGGGACACAAGTGTCCTCATTGTAGGAGGAATGTTGTATTGAAATGTCACAATCCAAATCAGGACAGTGAGATGCCGGAGACAGGCTGTCTCCATGGCAATCTGTCCACAACCGGCTGCAGAGGGGCCCCCTCCCTTTCTCCCAGTTCTTTCTAGAGAGGATTGTGTTCAGGACTTAGGGGCATAAGACGCTGTTCTGTGAGGTATGGTAGGGCAGCTCTGCACACGGAGGCAGGCCTGGGAGAAGAGGCAGGTGGATGTGGATGGAAACCCCAAAGTGGTGACCCGGGGAACCATAGAGGTGGAGACAGGCTATGTCCCATTTCCAGGCCCTGCCTGGGGGCATCCAGCCTGAAGATGGAGACTCTGACGTCATGGTTGAGAACCTTGGCTTTAGTCAGGTGGATCTGGATTCAAATCTCTCTTTTCTCACGTAAACACTGCTGGGTAAGCTCCTAGGCCTCTGCTGAGCTTCCTCCCTCTAACGAGGAGCAGTTTCAACAAATGCCTCCTATACACCAGGTAGTAGTCACAACCCTGAGAGGGAGCGTTAGCCAGAGGATCCAGGCTAATCCGCACAACCATGCCAAGAAACAGGGGTGATTAGAGGAGCCACTGGCAGTGGGGCTTTGGTGAGGATCAAGGAAGTGGGTACATCTGGTTGCAGAGAGCATGCCAGTGGTTAGCCATACCTGGCAGAATTCCAGTGTAATTCCGTGTAATTCCGGAACTGAGAGGGTTGAAGCAAGAATCATCAATTTGAGGAAAGCCGGGACATCATGAATTAACTCTGTCTGAAAAAAGAAAGAATGGAAGAGAAAAAGCCAGCTGTCACTAATCCCATCCCAGATTTTTCAATGGCATCTCATGGAACTGAAACATTGGAACAATTAATATCTTGATATTTGCCCTGTAACTTAGGTTTTAAGAGCATTCCCACACACATTAGCTTATCCGGGTCTTCCTGAAGACTTGGAGACCAAGACCCCGGTGTTGTGTTTTGAGATTAGCCTTGGCAAGCCTGGCCTGGTGGTGCCTTGACTTATAGACCCACCACTTGGGAAGTGGAGGCAGGAAGATGGGTAGTTGAAGGTCATCTTCCACTGCCTATCAAGCTTGAGGCCAGCCCGAACGACATGAAATTCTGTCTTTAAAAAAAAAAAAAATTAGCTTTGCAACTAGGTGCTTTATTTTCTCCAATTTCTTGGAAAAGAAGAGAGTAGAGATTGAATCCGCAAAGTCCCCTGGCCTATCCGCTCCCTCAGCTGTGACAAGGAGGGGCTGGGAAACACCGTGGGGCCCCCGGGAGAGGAGTTTGTGGACACCGTGGATCTCAGTGGTTCCCCGCTTCCTGGCCTCAACCGGGTCAGATGTGCTCCGGGGAGGCCTTCGCATCCGCTGCGTGACCGACCCTCCCGGGCCCGCCGCCAGGAGGGTTAGTGGCGCTGGCAGCCGCCAAGGCCGAAGGACTCCTAGGGGACCGGCCCGGGACTGCACGTCCTTCCCGTCCAGCCCACGCTGCTCCGGCATCCGGGCGGGGTCTGGGCCCGCCTTCTCCGGCCTTGAGCCCGCGGCCACTGGGCAGAGAGCCGGTGGTCCGCTCGTCCCTCCCCTAGCCTGGGGGGGGGTCCCATCACGGACCCCAAGGAGAGTTGAGCTACAAGTACCCTCCCCCACCCCACTCCCTGGCCTTCCAGTCACCCTCCTGAGCGTTTCTCTCAGGCAGCCGGATGAGGAGAAGACAGCTGAAGAAACTGAGGTACAAAAGGGTTGCCTGAGAAGGGAAGCAGCCAGGACCAGAGTTGCAAACTGGATCTCGGGGTTAAAGTGGGGTCCCCAGCCATCTCCACAAGCTGGCCTCCCAGCTGAGGATCTGAGCGACTTCCCTTGCCTGACTCATGGGCCTGCATCCTTCCACGGACATACCCTGCAGGTGGCTTAGGCTCAAGGCTCTGAGGACCGAGGACCTCAGCTAGGTGGGGGCCGATTCTCTCGAGAGAATGAAAGTAGATAGGGCACAGCTCACAGAAAGCGTATTTCCTGACCCAAGGTCTCCAAGACTAAAAAGGGGCAGGAAGAGAAAGCCTGAAGTGTTAGGTCTCCCTCCCCAGGCAGGAACAGTTCCTGTGGCAGTTGCCTGTCCAACTTCGTTAATTGTTAGTTAACTGTGCAGGTGTGTTAGTCCCCTGCCTGTGGCCTCTCCGCCACTGCCGCTGCTAAGGGAGAGGCACAGCCGCCTGCTCTTGAAATAAAAGTGACGTTTCATCCTAGATTCGGTCTCTCCTATCTGCACCAGACTTCACGGCTCGTGAACTCTTCAAAGACATCTCATATTGGGACGGTGTATGAACCAAAGTGCCTGGGTCTGAACCCTGCCTCCCCTGCTTAGCCTTAGGCGAAGCTGCTCCTGTGTCTGGTCTGTAAAATAGGGTCAATACTGAAACCACTCGGCTGGGTTAGTGTGGAGAGGAAGAGGTAAATGCAGGTGGGCACTGTTTCCTGGCCCTGTCATGGGTTAGGACTGAGCCCCGGTGTCTAACGGAAGCCCCAGGGTTCCAGAAGGTTCTCCAGACTTGGCCTTCTAGGGCAGACTCCAGTGTGTGGGAGACCAGCTTCCCTGTCATGGTGATGCTGCTGGAGCCTGGGGAACATCCCAGCAATCTGGTCTTAAAGCAGTGGTGTATAACCTTGACCCTGCACCAGACTGATGGAGGGGGAGGGGGTTGCCAAATAGGCTGCTGAGGAGCTGGGGTGGGTGACGTTCAGTTGACAAAGTGCTTGTTGTGCAAGAACAATGGCCTGAGTTCAAGTCCCAGTACCCATGTTTGGGAAAAAAAAAAAAAAGATTCTGGCCAGATGGTGGTGGCGCACGCCTTTAATCCCAAGTACTCCAGGGGCCAAGGCAGGTGATCTCTGTGAGTTCGAGGCCAGCCTGGTCTACAGAGAGAGTTCCAGTACAGCCAGAGCTGTTACACAGAGAAACCCTGTCTTGAAACAAACAAAAATTCTGGACAAAGTGATGAATGCCTGTAATGTTAGGACTGAGCAGGTAGAGACAGGCGGATCCCTGGGGCTTACTGGTCAACCAGTCTAGGCAAATTGGTTAGTTCCAGGTTCAGTGAAGGACCCTGTCTCAAAAACTAAGGTAGAGGGCCAGTGAGATGGCTCAGGGGATAAGGCGCTTATGGAAGAGCCCAATGGTCTAGGTTCAGCCTCTGGAACCACACAGTGAATGGAGAGGACCAACTCCCAAGAGTTGTCCTCAGACTCCCTCCCACACACTAAATAAGCATCTGCTGTTTTAAAGCCAAACATAGACAGTGACAGAGAAAGACAACCAATGTTGACCACTGGCCTCCATGCACACACATACACGTGCACACACACAAAAGTGTGTGTGTACACACATACAAAGGTTGCTGAGTTTCCCATCCTACTTCTGTGAGTTTCTGCTGCAACAGTGATTTCTGTTTCACACAAGTTTTCAGTCGAAGCTGCTGCTGCAGGTCCCATGGCCGGCAGTTTCTGGTGCAACAGTAATTTCTGTTTCACACAAGTTTTCATCAAAGCTGCTGCTGCAGGTCCTGTGGCCGGCAGCTCTCCCCTTCCCCTGTCTCACTGCTGAGTGCCTTGACCAGACCAGACACCGGCCCCAGGGCCAGAATACCAAATACCCAGAATGCCCTGGCAAGGCTACAGGGTGCCCCTCAGCCACACCTCTGTCCCTTGGAACTTAAAGAATTTGTCTTGGAGTGCAGGGCCCCTCAAGCTGCAGGCTACTGAGGCCTTCCTGGAGGCAGGCTGGAGCTAGGGACTTTAAACAGTGGGACAGAGCCTTCACATGCCTTGGGAAGGAAAATCTGGGTGGGTGGGTGGATTGCTGAGTGCTCCTGAGACTGGGACTGAAAACATTTCTTGACCATCTTAGGGACAAGATGCCAGAAGGATGAGGAACACCAGAGCTTTTCAGTGTATTTTATTTTATTTTATTTATTTATTTTTTTTTTTTTTGGTTTTTCGAGACAGGGTTTCTCTGTGTAGCTTTGCGCCTTTCCTGGGACTCACTTGGTAGCCCAGGCTGGCCTCGAACTCACAGAGATCCGCCTGGCTCTGCCTCCCGAGTGCTGGGATTAAAGGCGTGCGCCACCACCGCCCGGCTTCAGTGTATTTTAAATGAGAGATGCCAGAGAATGCTGCCCAGCTGTTTACAGACTAATGGGAGGGAACTGAGCCCCCACTCTGCTCGCTCACGTCTCCCCCATTTGGGGCCTTCTCTTCACAGACAACCAGGAGAATGGAGGAAAGCCAGAAGGAGGCAGCAAGGCCCGGAAGGAAAGGACCGCCTTCACCAAGGAGCAGCTGCGGGAGCTAGAGGCTGAGTTCGCCCACCATAACTACCTGACCAGGCTCCGAAGATATGAGATCGCAGTCAACCTGGACCTTTCAGAGCGGCAGGTGGGGCCCATGGCTTGTCAGTGTTCCACTGCTGTCTGCTCACCTCCCTTCCCATCGCCCTTGACTGGACCCCCTTCCTGTCCTCTACCCAGCCATGGTTCTCAACCACAGCTGCCCCTGACAATAAACCATCCCAGGGAGAATTAGCTGAGTCCCACCCATGGAGACTACTGTAATTGGTCTGGGATGGAGTTTGAGCAGCCCAGGTTTCCGAAGGTCCCCTGGGTACTTCTCATGAGAACAAGGATTAGAACATCTGAGGTCTGATTTCCCCAAACTTGAACCAGCGTTTGCCTCTGATTCACCCAGGCAACTGTTAAAATGGGGATTCTGAAAGTCAGGTGTTGTGACAACCACCTGTAAACCCAGCACCTGAAATATAGAGGCAGGAGGATTGTGAGTTCAAGGCCACCCTGGGCTACATAGTGAGCTGAGGCCAGCCTAAGGAACTGTCTTCAAAGAAATTGAAAGATGGGCTAGGGATGTAGCTCACTGGTAGAGTGCTTGCTTAGCACGCAGGAAGCCCTGGGTTTAATCTGACACCACAAACAGGGCATGGTATCATATGTCTATAATCTCAGCACACTGGGGAGGCTGAGGTCAGAGGACCACAAATTCAAGGCCATCTTTAGCTGCATAGTGAGTTCAAGGCCAGCCTGGGCTACATGAGACCCATTTTTTTTTTTTTAAGCTAAAACAAAATGCAGATTCCAGGGAAGAATTTTGCAGTAATAATGAGTGGGACTGGGAACCTGCATCTGAATTAAGTTCTCAGTTGTAGCAGATATGCAGCTGGGTCCTGGGACACTGAGGGAAAGTTTCCTGGCCCTTGGCTTGGGCATTTCCTTGAAGCATCGCACCTGCTTTTGTGTGCCATAACAGTGGTAATAACAACATTTAATAGCAGTCTTCAGTTGCCGGAGTGCTGTGCAAGAGTGTTGGGTTTGGAATCAGAAGGCTTAGAATCGAATCTTGCCTCTGCCGCATCCTGGCCCCTGTGACCTCCAGGTTTCCATCTCTGCAATAGGATCATAAACCCAATGTCATGTGATAATGAAGGTCAGAGCCTTTAAAACATGTGTTGATCAGAGCTACAGAAAGTCAAAGGTGATTTATCAATGTGCTGAAGGATGAGGCTGGCGGTCCTGTTCTCAGTTCTTTGTGGAGTAGAGACTGAGAGACTGGGGGGCCCATGGTGGAGGAGCAGGCAGTGAGTGTAGAGGAAGGGGCAATGTAGAGTGATTTTCAGAGACTCCCCCCGCACCCCGCCTGACATCTGGAGACCCAAGCAGGCCTCTGGGCAGATCTGCCTGTTCTCCCTCCCCTCCCACTCCCTGGATCCTTGGGGGATGGAGAGCAACATGTGAGGGCTCCAGATCCTGGACCCACTCAGCTCGAGCAACAGCATGGTGAGGGGTCACCCTGACCCTGGAGTGACCCTGGAGTGACCCTACTCCTCTGCTTCTTCCTCCAGGTCAAAGTGTGGTTCCAGAACCGGAGAATGAAGTGGAAGCGTGTGAAGGGGGGTCAGCCCGTGTCCCCTCATGAGCAGGACCCAGAGGATGGGGACTCTGCAGCTTCTCCAACTTCAGAGTGAGATTCGCCAAAGACGAAAAAAACAAGAAAGACTGAACCCCCTTTCCTACACCCTCCACCCAGTCCCACCGTCACCTCTTCCAGACCGACCCAGAGAAGCCTCTGCACACCTTATGACTCTTAGATGTGGAATTACCCAGTGTGTGGGAGCCTTGAATTTCCCAGAGGTGGTAACCCCTCCCCCAGGGCTTCAGCCTCCCACACTCTCTTGAACTCCACTATACCTACTGGTCTGGGAAGATCTAGAAACAGCATTGGGGCACTCTTTTTCTGGGTCTTGGCGGCTCCCCACACATCCTGCCATCCTCTTCCATCAAGGTCTCCTCTGGGTCTGGCTCCCATCTGGCCTGTGCAGAATCCCTTCCTTGGTTCCAGCTGGTGACTTGTGGAAGCAAAACCCTCTCCAGATGTTCACACCGTTGAGCTGGAGGCTAGAATGTGGCTCCTGTATCTAAGGATGGAGAGGATAGCACAAGAGCTGACAGACGAGGACCGACCCAGACAGGTGGACCTCTGGAGTAGAAGGTTCTCGGGCTGCAGCATCCTGTGCTCTCCAAGGACTCTCTACAAACCAGGACAGGAAAACCATCCCCCTTCCTCCTTGGGATGCATTTTGGCCTATCCTGCGTGTTCTCCAAAGGCTGTTTTGTGAGAACTCCCAGGTTCACACACATGCACAGCTCAGACCTCAGACCCGTCTTCTAAGGCTGCTGCTGCTGCAAGGTTTGGTGGGCAAAGAGCCTCCCCTGTGTGCCTCAGTATTAGATGCTGGGCCTCCCAGTCCCTGCTGAGGTTGCAGAAGGAGGTCAGCAAGTATTTTAATTTCTTGCATGTAGATTTGGTCATGGGTACTTAAAAAACAACCCAAGTCCCTCCCTCCCCCACCCATAAAGACAAAAGCTTGGAAAACGATTGTCAAATGGAATGGCAGGTTAGAGCATGTATCATTTATCCCTAAAGTATACTTCAAATTTTTTTTCCTAAGATTACATCAAGCTAATTGTGCAAGGTCAATTCAATTTGTAAAAAAAAAACTCTCAAAGAAATAAATCAATGAAAAATGCAAGGTTTCTGGCCTTTTTCTTTATAGAATGTGGAGTCATGGCTCTCATGTATAATGCTGATTCTCATCTAACGATTACCCAGAACGTGTCTAGAAAAGGAAAGAGAGAAGGGAGAGAAGTCACCTAGACCAAAGTACCCTCCCACAGGTTCTTCAAAAGGTGGGTGCCGGTCTGGAGAGATGGGCTCAGTGACTAGAAGCACTTGCCGCTCTTTCAGAGGTCAGAGTTCAGTTCCCAGGGGGATCTGACATCGTCTCGTATTGTCTATGGGCACCACACCCAAATGTGCATATTCTCTCTCTCCTCTCTCTCTCTCTCTCTCTCTTTCTCTCTCCTCTCTCTCCTCTCTCTCTCTTTCTCCTCTCTCTCCTCTCTCTCTCTCCTCTCCTCTCTCTCTCTCTCTCTCTCTCTCTCTCTCTCTCCTCTCCTCTCTTCTCTCTCTCTTCTCCTCTCTCTCTCTCTCCTCTCTCTGTCTCCTCTCTCTTTCTCTCATCTCTCTCTCTCTGTCTCTCTGAATAAATAAATGTAATTTAAACATTTGTTCAAACTTGGGGCTGGGGAGACAGCTCCAGCTAGCCTACTTGATGATTTTCCAGACAGTGAGCGACTTTGTTGAAGGAAAAAAAAAAAAGTGAGGCTGGAGGGATGGCTCAGTGGTTAAGAACACTGGCTGCTCTTCCAGAGGACCCAAATTTGATTTCCAACACCCACAGGACCCAAATTTGATTTCCAACACCCACATCATGGCTCACAACCACCTGTGACTCTAGTTCCAGGGGATCCAATACCTCCTCTGGCCTCCTTGAGTTCTAGGCACTGAAGTGGTGCATATACATACATGTAGGCAAAGCACCCGTACACATAATATAAAAATTTAAAAAAAGAATTAAATGGACAGTGCCCAGAAAATGACACCAGAGGTTATCCTCTGGCTTCCACATGCATGTGCACACAAATGCATGCGCACCCACACGTGTTCACATGCACGCACCTGAACAAGCACAGAGAAGAATTAGAAACAGGCCTGGTGAGATGGTTCAGTGAGTAAAAGCCCTTGCCACCAAGCCTGACGACCTGAATTTGGTCCCCAAGACCCACATCGAAAGAGGGATCTGACTCCTGCAAGTTGACCTCTGCCCTCCACACATGCACCATGCACACACACATATACATACATCCATGCATACATAAATGTAATTAAAAATTTTTTAATTGTGTAAAGGTGGCCCAACTGCTTTTCAGTCAGAAGGCAATGCCCAACATTAGCCAACAACATTCATTTCTGAAACAGAAAAAAAAAATCTTTCAGTGTGAGAGTTGTAATTCCTCAAAAACTCCCACGGTGACTAAATCTGTGATTGAGTCTGGCAGTGAAATGAATGCTCGCATATACATCACACAAATGCTCTCCGGATTCTTTGCACACTCCCTGCACCTGTCTGCTTCCCATCATTGGATCGATCAACGCAGGGTGAACTGATTGGTCAGTGCTGGGGCCAACTGCTCTTCATGCTGGTAAAACCATCCGCCAACTGGGTACGATGGCACTTACCTATAATCCCAGCACTTGGGAGGCTGAGGCAGGAGGATAGGAGGATCAGGAGTTCAAGATCAGCCTTAGCTACATCAAGAGTTTGAGGCTAGGTGGGCTACTTAAGAACCTACCTCAGAGAGAGGAGAGAGAGGAGAGAGAGAGAGGAGAGAGAGAGAGGAGAGAGAGAGAGAGAGAGAGGAGCGGCCAGGGAAGCAAGGCCACCCCTGGTGACTCTTTTTTTTGTTTTTTGTTTTTTTTTTTTTTTTTTTTTTTTTTGGTTTTTCGAGACAGGGTTTCTCTGTGTAGCTTTGGAGCCTTTCCTGGCACTCAGCCCAGGCTGGCCTCGAACTCAGAGATCCGCCTGCCTCTGTTCCTGAGTGCTGGAATTAAAGGCGTGCGCCACCACCGCCCGGCCCCTGGTGACTCCATAATGGGAGCCACTGACTGTGACCAGAGTTGGTGAAACCATAGGAATCCAAACAACTGAGAATTTACAAATGGTACCTTTTTAATAATGACTTTCTTTGTCCTTGGGAAAGCATCCAGGATAAGCAAGTGTACGTCTGTCCTTCTGAGAGAGGTGGGGAGATGAGAGAGTGGTGAAGAAAGAGAAGAATCCTCTTCCAAATGAGAGCTCCTCAAGGGACTCAGGGCTTCAGAATGCTGCCCACCCTTGGCCTTTCTGACAATACCTCTCCCTATAAGAAAACCAGTGTCAGGTATGAATCCTCTCTGCCTGTCCAGACCCCAAGTAACCAAGTGTACTAAGCAGGGTTCTCTAGAGGAACTGAACCAATTGTGTGTGTGTGTGTGTGTGTGTGTGTGTGTGTGTGTGTGTGTGTGTGTGTGTGAGAGAGAGAGAGAGAGACAGAGACAGAGACAGAGACAGAGACAGACAGAGACAGAGACAGAGAGAGAAAATGGGATTTATCAGATTAACACTACAGGAGTGGAATAGTCTAGCTATGGCCTCAGTATGCTGGAGAGGCTGAGAACCCCGTAGCTACCTAGTCCACAAAAGCCCCAGTCTTCCACTGAAGGCACAGAAGATTCATTCAGTCCATGAAAGACTGAACCGATGTCAGGAGAGAATGGTGGTGGTGGTGGCAGCGGCGGCAATAGACACACTCAGCCAGGCAACATGCCCCGCCCTGCCTTTTTATATCTGATCTATCTGTTGAAGGGGCTGCCCGTTCTCAGGGTGGGTCATCTCACCTCAGTCAGTTTTCTTTGGAAACTCGCTCACAGACATGCCTTGTGTTCTCTAGATGATTCCAGATCCCAGCAAGTTGACAATCAAGATAAGCCCTGGCTTATCTTACGTGACTTGGATCTCTACGTTTGCATGGAAATCTTGTCCATTAAGAGCTATATGTTCTCCCAGCCATGCAGAGGAGCCTGTGGCAGCTAAGCCTCCCTTCCAGTCACTAATGAGGCAAGTGTCATTGAGTACTCTCTGGGCCACCTCCCATGTTCCTTGTCCCCTGGATGTCCTTCTCAAATCCATTTTCCCACAAACCCTGAACCTATTCATATTTTTACACACCTTCAAAATGATTTCAAATGCACATCCCCATCTAATGCTGCTATGCCATCCACAGAGGCTCTTCATCTGTGTCTTCCTGTGTCATATCTGTGCATTTATGGTCACTGTTTCAATCTATCATTCTTCTATTGGGGGGGATAATGTATTTCTCTGACCATTTTATTCCTAGCTAGTAGTGAGGATGCCTGAAACATATTGCATCAAAATGTAGTGATTGAATAGATGGATAGACAAACAGATGGATAAATGAATAGATGATAGATGGATGGATAGATGGACAAACTGTATATAAATGGATAGATGGATAGACAAACAGGTGGAAGGGCAGATGGATAGATAAATCAGTGGATGAACAGACAGAAGGATGGATGGATGGATGGATGGATGGATGGATGGATGGATGGATGGATGGGTGGGTGGAAAAATGGATGGGTAAGTGGCTGAGTGACTGAATGGATGGAGAAACTGTTAAATTGTGGTATTGCCTGGCTTCTTGGCTCCAAGACAAATAGACCACTAACTGGAAGCTCTGACCTGAAGGTCAATTAGATGATGAGACACAGTCCAGGCCTTCAGGGATCACAAATCTGGCAGGCCATGCCCTTAACGAGGGGACACCACCCTGATTCTACAGCCCAGGAGAACTCTCTCTTGCTGTGGTCATAAGACCGAGATTCCTTGCCAATCACTCACCTTCCCAGCCCTCTCTGAGGCTAGGACAAGACTTTTTACCTCTGACCTATATTTGGCAAAGAATCAGCTTCCAGGGCCTGCCACCAACAAACCTCAGGGGCATGCCTGATAAGAGGCTTGTCAACCGTTTCCACACATCTGGAAGGGTGATGCTTAATAACTTAAAGGTGACATCAGGGTTGGGAGTCATATCCGACTGAACACAGAGAGACATGACCTAACTCGTCTCTCGCCATGGTTCTGGCTGCGAGAGCTTGTCTTTATTAATTTCCTAACTGGAGCTGCTGGCTCAGAATTCCAGGCTGTCCCCAGAGCTGGGGCCCGCGGCCGGGCTTAACTCCATCGTGACTAGGAAGGCAGCAGGCTGAGCTGGGACTGAGAAGGGCACCCACCATGGAGTCGGAGCTCTTCCTGGCCGGCATTGGCTTCCACCACCAAACAGATGTCATGTTTGAGGGAAGCAGACCCGCAGTTTCTGAAGGGTTCCTGGATCACATTGCAGGTTCCCTGGTGGCTACAGGGATGGTTTTCTTTGCGCTCTTAAAGGTGATTTAAACCCAGTTTTCCAGGAACACAAATCCTCTCTAAAGCACCCAGTGCACCTGGCTGGAGAGCTGCAGACGTGTGTCTGAGCCCGTGACTGTCTCGGGGAGCAAGCTGGATTTAGTTAGTTTTTTTTCCTTTCACATTCTGCACTATAGGCAGAGAAACACACACACACACACACACACACACACACACACACACACCACACACACACACACCACACACACACACACATACACACACACACACACACACACACACACACACACACACACACCACACACACACACATACACACACACACACACACACACACACACACACACACACCACACGCCTCCAGACTAACAGGCTTAGGGACCAGCACAGGCTCTGTACAGATGAGCTGTATGGTCTCTATGAAGTCATCTACCTTCCCTGAGCCTCAGTTTCCCTATCCCTAGGCCTGTAGGAGCTGTGATACTTAGAGGTCATGCTTCAGTTATAGTGACAGGAGGATGAGATTCATTCACTTCACAGGAGTGTTTCTCTAGTGTTGACTCTCTGTCAAGTCCTTGGTACAGTGAACAGAGCCAGAAGGATGAGTGCAAGCAGAGTCAGCCCAGCCCCTGGGATGGCAGGGTCACGTCTGTAGAACCTAGCACAGTACCTGGCTC